TCTCTAGTAGTTACCTTATATGGGTGGGCTGTTACCTTCGTTAATGAAAATTTAGGGGAAATTCTATGAGATCTGTGCAGAAAGCATATAATATAACAAGCTCATCATTATTAATAATCAGCAATTGGGCTAATATTCATCAATGGACTACTTTTGTACCTATAGTAATACAACTATGACGTATTTTTCCCAATTATAATCTTTTCCTTTCATGATATCTAACCAATAGGTGCACTTGCCCACATAACAAGTTATATTATCTTTTCAAAGCAGATTTAAAAATATCTAGATAAATAACTATAAATTCTGATATAAAATTCTCTTACATTTGTCTAACAACTCTCAGTTTTATAATTCCTACAGGTAAATATGGCAAAATAACTTAATGGTTATTTGGAATAATTCCCAATATAAAATTTTCAAAAATTATAAAGGGAAAAAGTAAAGTAAGTATGTAAATCTACAGGCCTAAATAGCCTTTTCCGAACCACGGTTAAATAGCATGATGACTGGGGACCAAGACTGTGTCCTGATGCTATCTTGTCTTCCTTCTCTGGTCCTTAGTTCCCTTCTTTCCCTAAAAATAAAGATATAAAATTGGGTGATTTGGTAAATGCCTTCTAGGTCCAGTAATCTCTGTATAAGCCCTTAAACCAAGCGTTGGTCTAAAAATTTGAAAAATCTATATTCTTTGCAGAAAATGAGAAAATACAGAGAAGCAAAATGAAAAAAAATAAGAATTCAAAATTTTACCAATAAAAATTGAATTTTAAAAAGTTCACCTTGCTTATTCATGTTTCCAAGGCAGAATGATGATGTGAAATTTTGAGTGCACTTCAATGATCACAATGATTGTGCAAGTTCTATACTCACCTTGTGCTATCGGTCTAATATACAGTCACTAAGTATCAGATATTGTGGAGCAATAAGTTTCATTACTTTATTCTCACAGAATATACTTTAACAAGAATATCATTTTTATTTTGCAATCTATTCTTGATTTATATTTCTTCTTTCTCTCATCTCCAGACAAGAGCTATTTAAATAACCTATTTTGTGCTTAATTTAGGTATCCATTTTACGTACTGCAGTCTAAACAGGAAAGACATTATGAATTTTCACCATGCAACTTTCATGAAAGATAAGAATAAATGAGCATTAATGGCTGAAGAATGAGATCCTTAGTCTGCTAATTTTGTGAAAAAATATTCTAATACAAAACATTTGTCATCTCTATGAAGACATACAAGGCAAGCTGAGATAAATCTAAAAGCCAAGCAAGAGGCAGAGTTGTTGTCAACTTGAGGTGTACGTGATAATCCTAGAGTCCTTGTGTTCCCGAATTTTTGTTCCTTCTCTCTGAAGCAGCAGTTCTGTGTGATGTCTTTCCTCAGCTACGTCTTAGTGCACCAAAATCAGTATTTCATTACATCTGTGACTAGACACACCAGAATGGATAACACCACTGAAAGGACATTTTGCCATAGTGCATTTTAGGTAGAAGCCAGAGGGGCTGTATTTTTAAATGATTTCTTACAAAATGCCACTGGAGCTTATCTTTTTTTTTTTTTTTTTTTTTTTTTTGTCTTTTGTCTTTTTCCGTGTCCGGCAACGGATCGCAACCCTCAGTGTTGCCCCTGCACCGGACCGGGGACTGGCAACGGGACCGCAACCCTCAGCGCTGCTCCCATGCCTCGCTCAGCCAGCGAGCGGGAACCGGTCTGCATGTGGGATCCGAACCCTCGGGCGGGAGCGCCGCCGCGCTTCCCAAGGAGCGCACTATCCAGTGCGCCACCGGGCCGGCCCCTGGAGCTTATCTTTTGAAAGTTTCTTCATCTTTATGTTTGAAGAGATAGCACTAATCATTTTTGACAAGGACTGGTACCTTGCTTACTTTTCTCTTTACACTGATAAGATTTTTTAGTTTCATTTAATATAATGCAGCTTACTCTAACATATTAATTTGACAGTTGCCATGTGGTAACTCCTGTACTGGAGCCTAGTATGTACAAAGCTGGATGAAAACTATGATTTGATGATGCTTGATCATAATGCGAGTAGGGCAGGGGAATTAAAGCTGAGAAGTAAATATATCAGATGAATATTATGATAGAGACATGGACAAAAAAGCACAAAGTAAATAATTATTCCTGTTGCCAAGGGAGAAGTGATGTTTTTGACATTCCAAATACCGTCTAAAATAATATTCTTGATTTTTTTCCCCTGCAAAACTGTTCAGTAAAATCATTTCAGTAAATGGCTATGCCAGAAACCTATGTGTCATCCTTCACTTTCACTTCCACCACCTCCCACATCCAATGCACAGCAAGTCCCAGCAGCTTCACCTACAAACTGTATCCTGAATCCATCCATTTCTGTCCTTCTCTGCTGTCACTCCCTAGTTCAAGCCACCATCATTTCCCGACTAATTTACTGCAATAGTATTCTGATTGGACTTTGCTTCCACTCTTGCTTTCTGAAGGTCCATTTTCCACATAACAGCTAAGCAATCTTTTTAAAAACATAAATCACTCTCTCACATACAAACCTTTAACAGCTTCTCATTGCACTCGAAATAAAATCCAGTTTTCTCTCTATGGCCTCCATGATCTGGCCTCTGACTCCCTTCTAACCTCAACTCAAACCAACTTCTACCCTGTTCACTCTACTCCAACCATGCTCACATTCTTTCTTCCCTGAACATACCAAGTGCTTTTTTTCAGGCCTCAGGGCCTTTGCATGTGACCTTAACTCACCCTGGAATGCTCCTCCCTCTGATCTGCAGAGGACTGACTTCTGATCATTTAGGTCTTAGCTCTTATTTCCTCTTCATAGAAAGGCTTTCTATGACTACCCTATCTAAAGTAGACACCAATCCCACAGAGCCTTTATTTTATCATACTTGTTTATTTACTACCATCTAAAATAATTCCATTTTTGATTTTGTTTATGTTTGTGTGTTCCTTTGTGTTCGTATCCCTCTAAAGGATGTTAGTGCCATGAGACAGGAGCCTTAATGCTCTCATTCACCAGCACCCACAGTAGTGGCTATCCGACAGTAAGTGCTAAGTAAATCTATGTTAAATGGATACGTAAATGAATGAGTGATTAAAATCTGCAGAGCTGGTTTGTCTGTAAATACTCTATTCTGGAAGGCTCAGGTTCAGAGTCCCACTTGGAAACAAAGTTCATTGGCAATTCAGAGGAAAAAAGTAACAGATTTGGGGACTAGAAATCTGAGTTTCAATCTTCAATGTGCCAAGTTTTGCTTGTATAAATTCAGGTAAGAGGTGGTACAGTATAATGAAAAGGATCACAGAGAAGTTTTAAGGTATCAGGCTCAGGAGTCAACAAGACATGGGAGCTGGGTGCGAATTCTTAAATCATCATTTTAAAACTAACTGTGGATTTGAGAGTCATTATTTGACGTGACTGAGCCCCAGTTCTCTCATCTGTAAAAGAGGATATTCTTCATATAATTGCTTGAGATTTGAATGAGATAATTCACATAAAGTACTGAGCATAGTGACTAACACTTATCTGTGTCTAATAAATGTTTGTTAATAATTTTTTGCCTGACAGATTCCCTACTTCTCTGATGGATCTAGACATTCCTGTTCATATAGAAGGGAAAGGGATTTAAAAATAATAGAAACCTAACCATGTCAACTAGGACTGATTAAATATTATATCAGCCCTTACTGAAGAGCTTAGTTATGTCTTTCTTTTCATTCATTTAACAGCTATTTCTTAAGAATCTTTTTTTTTTTTCCCCTTTTTGTCTTTTTTCGTGACCGGCAACGGATCGCAACCCTCAGTGTCGCACCCGTACCGGACCGGGACCGGCAACGGGATCGCAACCCTTGGTGTTGCACGCAACCCTTGGTGTTGCACCCGCCCCTTGCTCAGCCAGTGAGCGGCAGGTCTGTATGTGGGATCTGAACCCTCGGCGGGAGCGCCGCCGCGCTTCCCAAGCGGCGCACTGTAGCAGTGCGCCACTGGGCCGGCCCCTTAAGAATCTTTTAATGTACCAGGTACTATATGGTGCTGGAGAGATAGCAGTGAATAAGGTACTACATATGCTTTAAAAAAGGTAAGTTTATAGTAAGAGAGAGTGTGAACCATATTGGTAATTGTGAAACAGAATAAAGAGTTCTTGGGGGTATATTAATGCACTTGATTGGAGTTTGTAGAGAACGCACCTGATGCAGCAAGTTTGTTGGGGGAGGGGGCGGGGAAAAGGAAAAGATGGCTTCCTAGAAAAAGTGATATCTTTGAAGAAACTGGAAGGATTAGTATCACTTATCAGCTGGGACTACGGGAAGGAAGAGCATTTTAGGAAGAGGGAACAGCATACATAAAAACCCACAGTGGAAAAAGGCCGGGTACTTCTAGAGATTGGCATACAAGACTGTCTTTAAAAAGCACATGATGATTTACCATACATTGTTAAGTCGTTTAGATAATTAAGATGAAATTCACACATTTTCTTGAAATATTCTCACAATAGTGTGGGGGATTAAAATTTCTGTCTCAAATGAGCCTTGTTAGTTCATTTCATAGTGGAAACTGTGCTTTCAGTGTTATATATCCAGAGGTTATTTGGATAATTTAAAACTTCTGTTTGGGCACTGAATACTAAATTACATTGAATTGATTAATGAGCTAATTGTTCAACCTTTCACTTCATTCTGCCTGTATATACAATTTAAGTGGGAGAGAAACAAGAAATAGATTCTTTTGTTATTTATATTCACCTAAATCCACATTCTATTCCTGTTGAGATTAGCAATTAGATTTTTAATTAGTTTTCCAAAACGGATTCATGGGTTTATTTCTTATGCAAGTGGAGAAGATGTAGTTACCAAACGTGGAAAGCATTAAACTTTTCTTAAATTTAATTGAGATGATCAAGATTTCTGTGCTATAACATAACAACTTTCCACTTTTAGCCTATGACAACAAAACCCATAATTAACAAAATCACTTGGAAAACTCACCGTCATTTCTCAATATTAGTGGTGTGGGTGGCCCCAGGACCTTGTGGTTTGTCACAGTATTGGTAACCACACAGGTATAATTCCCAACATCTGATTTTTCTACTTTGGCAATATACAGATTACCAGTCTCTTGGGAAACGAAGCGGCGATTATCCTGATAGGAAGGGTATTCATTGAAGATCCAGGCATAGCTCAGCTCTGAAAGCAAAAGGAACTGTCATTACACATATGTCTATTGGCACTGGAACTCTACTGTATTCATGAAAGAAATGGTCAAGTTAGAAATTCAGATTGTTGCCCATTGATCCTTTTTAAAGCCTGTTAAATATAAATAGGAAGTAATTTCAATCCCCTAAAACATTTTACCAGTCTTCCTACCATCAGTCAATAAAAATTTATTTCTAGAGATCTAGAAGATACAGATGATTGATGAAGAGTGTTCCAATCTCTTTAAGTCAAGGGAATAAGCATTTAGAGTTTGCTAAGCGTGTGCCAAGCACCATGTACCATGTACTGAGCTAAAGTTCAAATTACAGACCCAGGGAGTCTATAATCTTGATATAATAATGCTGGAAGCCACCCTGGAAATTATTTAGATCTTTTCTTTCATTTTACAGATAATAATCATTCCAATGCATCATAATGCACACACTTGCACAGTACTTTGTGGTTTCCAATACATTTGATAGTTTTCCATTAACTGCAAAACTGGCACAGAGGAAACAAGTAACTAATCCAAACTCTTAGCCCTAGTTAGAGACAGAATAATTCCTGAGTCTCAACTCAGTCCTATCCCAATGCCTCCTACTAGCAACTCAAATTCTTACTTGTGAGGTTGAATACTTTTCCATAATTTTAGTGAGACAGTAGTTTAATATGGTAGCAAATACACATTAAATACACATTGACTAGTTGACTGATTCTACAAATGTAAATATGTGCTTGAAAAAAACAATATTAGCTTAAAAATTATTATATCCACAACAGGGTGAATATGAAATATTGATCAAAAAGCAATACATTTCCAAATTCTTATTCATCCCAGAATGCCAATGGGATGAATGAAACAGGTAGTTGTAGTCAAAAATGTTCTTTGGAAGTTTTAATTCTTCTAAAGTACTAGGTAAATGTTTTGTGAATGAACACACGAGCCCATGCTTTCAATTTCAGAGAAGAACCCTAAATGACAGTGAGTTTAGATGATTTGCTGCAGTAATCTATTGTGCTCCAAGGAAATCAAACTTTTTCAGCTCCAGGCATTTCATGATTCCTTTCTTTAAAGTATGATCTCCAGATCTGTCCAAAGCTGGAGAAGTGATATACTAGCTACTGGCACTGATTAGCCAACATGCCCCATTTTGTTTTCAAAATTACTTTTTGGAGGGAGGAGGAGAGTCCCACTAGATGCCAAGGGAGCCTCTGGTTTCAGAACGAGTTGGCTGCTATTATATGTCTCTCTTTAATATGATCCTGGGAGAAAGTCTAAATGCATGAAGTGTCCTCGGAAAATGGCAGAAAGGTCACTTCAGCATTGTATGGAGAACACTAATTACTATAAAAGGCATTTTTGTTGTTTAATTCTTCGATGAGTCCCAATTGTAACTGACCTCAGCAACTGAATGTACAACAGAAAACATATTCTGCCTTAAAAGCCCATTGCTTACATACAGAAGAGGGGTCATGCTGACTGCTTTCCATTTATCACTGGATTATAACTTTCCCACATGCATTATTTTAGAGAGATCTAATTATGTTTATATGAGAATAGCTAAGCATTTTATTTACACATGTGAATGTAATTGTAAGTAACCCCATGCTGATGTCAAGACGATACTCAGTGTAAATAAGCAAGTGCTTCCCAGCAAGCTAGTTACTTCCTCAAGAAACAAAAATCTGGGGGAGGAACATCCCCTAAAATAGGTCATGAAGAAATACAATCCCATATGGAGCTTTCTCATAAAAACAGATTTTTGCAAACAGCACAGCAGACAACATACTCCTTACTCACTCAACTTGATATGTGAGATTCAGGCAAACCTAGTAATCTCTCAGCACTTCAATTTTCTCATATGAATAATGAGGAGAACACTGCCTATTCCCTAATTAACAATAAGAGAGTCTTAAGTATAAATTAGCAACTCCACAGTCACCAGGTAGAAGTTAGAAAGTAATTTAGCAGCACAATATTAATCAAACCACACCTCTCCAAGGAAGAGTTGTAATCAAATATACAAAACTGTATTTTTTTTTCCTAAAAATATTTTTCAGAGGGCTGGTGTTGGGAAAATATAAGAACAATGGTAAGGGCTCCTCTGATGTTCAGAATCTTGCCGAGCATTTGATGTAAATAGGCATATGCGCTCAGGTGTTCCTTGGTTATCATCTATTGTAATTGCGCATGTGCACCCAGGTGTCCTGGGTTATGACTTAAGTATAAGGATGAGTGACTACGATCCATGGTGCCTCCCATCAATGGGATGCCCCCCCATGGGGGGGCATGGGGAGGCCACTACTGCTGCTGAAGGCTGCTGCTGCTAGTGCCCCTGGGACCCTCTGCAAGGCCACTGCCACTGCTGGACCTGTAAGCTGCTGCTGCTGAGGAAGCTGAGGACTGAGCTCATGTCATCTGCCAACAGCTCCTGGAATCTTTCTCAATTACCTAGCACAGACCTGCGTGTGAGGGGTCTGGGGACCCGGCCTGGCATGTGAGGGGTCTGGTGACCCAGTCTATACAATGGGTTTGTGTGGAATATACTAAAAAGCATATGTACTTCACAGGGCCTGGTTTTCCAAAGCCTTGCAGTTTCATATATTGACCTTGTGGAGAACTGGAAATTTCCCTCAGGCTATAAGTCTCTGTTGCAAGATAAGGATTTTGGCACAGCAGGTTGCTGGCTCAAAGACAGACTAGTTACTGATTATTATGTAAAGATACTGAGAAATTGCTATAGGAAGGAATGCTTGTTAAGATCAAACTGTTGTTGATAGGACCACTTAATTGTCTGCTGGAATGTCATCTGGCTTGTTTCACTGAATTTTACCAGCCTATATTGTTAAACTATAACCCCACCTTTGTTCTCTTCCTGTAACTTCCTGGTCTGGAAAATAAATGCAGGAAGAAAACCCCAATTCGGGGTTAATTTCCCAAGGAAGGGCTGCCTCTCACTGGAGGTTCCTGGGAAGTTAACCTCTTTGGGGCCTCTCACTGCTCGAAAGAGATGGGCTTTGAGTAATCTTTTGCGTCTCTGTCACCCAGGGGAAGTGAGGTGACAAGTCCGGGTGTGTGTGTGTGTGTGTGTGTGAAGCAACGCAAAGCAACAGGTTTGGAGGGTCTGAGCCCTATCTCTGACAATATAAGTGGAAACTTGGTATAACTAAAATAATGAAACATTTTGGCTTTAGTTATGATTTGCCTTACTTTACAGCTGGCCAGTTAGCTCAGTTGGTTAGAGTGTGGTGCTGATAACTACAGAGTAAAGGGTTCAATCTCTGTACTGGCCAGCCACCAAAACCAAAACAAAACAAGATGTTTTTCAGAACTGTGGTCTAGTGGCTGTTAGGCTCTCTGAATTCTGTGGGAGGAAGCTTGGTTAGCAACTGGGAAGTGGATATTGGAAATAAGGCGTCTGCTTTGTTATTTTTCTAATTGGAGGGGGGAAGAAAACAGAAGACAAGAAGACCAAAATTCAAACCTGTGTTATGTAAAGGAAGCCATTTAAACTCTTTCACTTTCAACTTCTTACTCCTTAAAGAGGGGTAATTTTAAATGTGATGCAGGTCTGTAGTGAGGCTCTGTTTATGTGAAAGCAAATCTCTAAAGTGCCCTACAGACGTTAGTTATTACTGGTGTCACATTCACCAGGTTGATTATTATAAAAGTAAAAACTAAAAAAAATGTTTAATTAACATGCCATTTGATCTTTGCTTTCACTGAGATGGAAACAACCTTAAGTATATACTACAGCATTTCTTAAACTGTGGTCCTTGAAATATTAACTCTCTATTCTCTACCCCCACTTTCCCAAAATTCAAAGGGTCATGTGATCAAATGACTTTGAAAAGCACTGGATTAAACAAAGTCAAACAAATTTTTAAATTTTTCTTTCAGAACTGGCAAGAGATTTTAACATGCCAATGCCCTTGAAATTACTTAGAGAGTGTTTAACCATCCAAACTTATTTGATCATGGAATTACTTGCACCACCCCAACCCCACTTTTCTAAAACACCAATTAATAGCTCACAAAACCTCATTTGGGGAAACCCCGAACAAATGTAATTCCTTCGATTCAAAAAACAGTAAGTATAAAAATTATTAACTGTATTACTTCAGTTTTGGGGAAAATTATTAGGTAACATTAAACAGAACAACAGAAAACAACAAAACATTGAGTTAAAGTTATAAATTTCACAAACTGTAATTACTGTAACCATTTTTCATGTTGTTAAAACTGTAACCATTTATTATTATGTTAAAAAAAGGAACAAACCATAGTTGCTGTGGGGAAAATAAAATAGTTTGGTCACGGCCCTCGCCTTGCCTCGGGTCCAGTTGGGTGTGGTTCAGCATCACGTGCGTGCGTGTGTGGTTAGTGCGCATGCACGCCAATGTATCTATTTAGTTTTGTTGCTATTCTTGTGTTCTTCTGCAGAGAAAGAGGAGACAGGGAGAGTGGAGAGAGAGGGAGGAGTTTTAGTGATGCAGGTGCGCGTTGGCCTCTGATGTCCGCCCAGCATGGCCATGCTTTTCCAAACCTACAGCTTCCAAGGACCTTTTTGGCCAGTTACCTAGCTCATAGACCTGCATGAGGGGTCTGGGGACCCAGCCTGGAATGTGAAGGGTTTGTGATCCAATCTGTGAACAGGCTTGAGGAGTCTGGGAGCTCCAGACCCAGCCCTGGCTCAACCATGGGCCCAGTCGGTGCAGGACTACTGACAGGTAAAAGAGCCTGACAGCTGGCCTGGTTGCCTAGCTTTACAACTGGCATCTCAAACAGGATTAAGAGCTACGGCCGGCCCGGTGGCGCACTGCTATAGTGCGCCGCTTGGCAGGCGCGGCGGCGCTCCCGCTGAGGGTTTGGATCCCACATACAGACCAGCCGCTCACTGGCTGAACGAGGTGCGGGGACAACAACGAGGGTTGCGATCCCGTTGCCGGTCCCGGTCCGGTGCGGGCGCGACACTGAGGGTTGCGGTCCG